GGAAAGAGATCATATGCGCGATAGAGGCAGTGAGAAATAGAGGGATAGGGATAGAACGGTGAATACTAGTAGAGAGAGGGAGAGAGAAAAGGAAAGGGAGAGACAGAGTAATAAATATAGGGTCAAAGGCAAGGAATTTCAGAGTGACAGGGAGAAGCATAGAAGTCTTGATGGGGACTATTATGATACGAAGCATAAGCAGTCCAGGTACTCGAGGCATGGCGCAAAAGTTGGCTCAGAAACAGTAAGGTCGAATTCTGTGAAGGCCCAGGGTGAGAACTTAGAAGACACTAGAGGCGGTGATGGAAGGTATTATTCCTCTGAAAACCTTCTTTTGAAACGTTTAGGTTGTGATTCTTCCTTAATTATTATCATTTGTCTTGGTTTGGGGATCTTATCTATATTTCAAACAGGTTCAGAGACGAAGATGAGCAAGATGATAATGAGGAAGGAGTTGTTTGGAAACTCCCAGATCAGGAAGAGCAAGAGCTTAATAGAATCAAGGACGAGAGTAGGAAGAGAAGGCAAGCAATACTGGAGAAATATAAGAAGCAGACAGAGCAGAAAAGTGTTTTTTCTGCACATGATAAGTGTAAAGGTAATTCTCAGTACTTTATAATGATCATTACTGAGGGCTGCTCAGTCGTGACACTTAAAATGGGTCATGTGGCTATGTAGGTGTCATGAGTTTTTTGTTGCCATGTTTCTCCAAATGTGGCTTTTCATTCGTTTGTATTTGCTGTTGTCACAATATGTTCCTTGAGTTTTCCTTCTGGTGTGTGTTAAGCAAGATTCTTAAAGGGGACTGCTTTAGTGTGTCATCACAGATTGTGTATCAAAATCGTTGGTGGGTAACTTAGTAGAATTTAGTGACAAAATTTTCTTTGGACTTGGTGTGCGAGAAACTAGGTTCATATGAGTAGCATGGGTCTTAAACAGCGAAACTACTCTAGGTTTCATTAGATTGTATGGGTCTCACAGATTTTGAGCTTGCAGGCACTGCCAATCAGTCCTCTAATGCTGCTCTGAACTCTTTACAAGAAAGTAATGGTCCAAAGCCCGTTGCTTCTTCCATGGATGTTGCAGCAGCTAATATTGGTCAAACTGCGGATGTTACTGACCTTGATGTTGTTGGTTGTGATGTTGCCAAGCCATCATTGACTGCTGGGCGGTCACCTCCACAGCATGGAATTCCGGACCCAGAGAGGACACCAGCTCCTGCTGGACTTGGGGAAGGTACCCCAAAGGTGCGTTAGTATGGAAAATTTGACTGTTTCTTGGCCTTCAGGGTGCCAGGGTCCTGATTGGTTGTGAGTTATTTCTTGTTTCATTTTTTTTTGTAATCTTTTTTCTGTTTGGCGTTTCTTGATGCTTATATGCTGTTATGTCCAGAGTGAAAGATCAGCTGACATGTTTCATGATGATATTTTTGGGGACTCTCCTGCTGGCAATCGGAAAATGGTATGTATTTCACTTGATTTCTTGTCGTATTCTGATCTTATGTTTGCAGAATCTGCTAATTGTCTCCCAGTACCCGATTCTATTTTTGGGTCTGGAGACATTTTATCTTATAATCAGGAAAAATTGGCTCTTCAGAGAGCTTTACCTCTCAGATGATCGAGGTCTTTTTTTTTTTGTTTCCTGTTCTCATTCCAGCCACTTCGTATTGGATTCATATGTTATTGTACTCCCTTAGACTGTTGCTTTTGTTCTCGTGAAAGTTTTGGTTGGATTGTCATCAAAGGTTTCCATTTCGATTCTAGGGTGTTTGTGGATATCATTGTCCATTGGAAGAATGATGTTTATGTCTTCACGTAATACTGAATGATCTCTTCCCCTTATTTTCTGATAATATTTTTATTCTTTAGGCTAAAGGAGACGGTCTTCCTATTGTAAGGAGTGGGCTTCATGATAATTGGGATGATGCAGATGGTTATTACAGTAAGTATCCGATCTGTGTAGGACCTCTTAGATTCTTTTGTTTGTTTCAATCTCTGTTAATTTAGCTTGCATCTCCTTTCTACTATTGTGTTTGCCTGGTGCTTTTCATCTTTCTAACTTGTAAAAGCCCATGTTGTAGTTTCCAGCTTGAAAGTAAAGTTTCTTGTTCCCATTTGTAGGCTATCAATTTGGTGAACTACTTGATTGTAGATATGAAGTAATGGCTACTCATGGAAAAGGTGTCTTCTCTACTGTGGTCCGTGCAAAAGATTTGAAAGCTGGACCTGGTGAACCTGAAGAAGTGGCTATAAAAATAATCCGCAACAACGAGACAATTGGTGTATTTCTCGTCGAAGTCCTCATGTTGTGATGTTTTATTTATTTCCATTATACTCTTGTGGCTCATCACTTCTATCACATTTTGTCTAGGCATAAAATCGGTCAGACTGAGGTCCAGATTTTGAAGAAGCTAGCTGGGGCTGATCCAGATAACGAGCGCCACTGTGTTTGCTTTCTGTCAAGTTTCAAGTACAGGAATCATCTTTGCTTAGTATTCGAGTCTCTCCATTTGAATCTCCGTGAGGTTTTGAAGAAGTTTGGTCGCAACATTGGTCTTAAATTATCCGCTATTAGAGTGTATGCCAAGCAGTTATTCATTGCTCTTAAACACCTAAAAATTTGTGGGGTTCTCCACTGTGATATAAAACCTGACAACATGCTGGTAGGTTATATTTTTCTGTTATTTTTCTTCTGCTTGATGCACACCTTCTGATATCTAATTATTCCTTGATTGTGCAGGTGAATGAAGGAAAAAATGTGTTAAAGCTGTGTGACTTTGGTAATGCGATGTTTGCTGGTAAAAATGAAGTTACACCATATCTCGTCAGTTGTTTTTATTGTGCTCCTGAAATTAGTAAGTATCTCTTGTTTTTATTTTCCAATTGGGTTATTGGTGAATATTTTATTACGCACTGTTGTATTATGTTATTGAAGATGTCTTCTGGTGGTGCAGTTCTTGGGCTTACATATGACCACCCTTTGGATATTTGGTCCGTTGGTTGCTGTTTATATGAGCTTTACAGCGGGAAAGTTCTTTTCCCTGGTCCTACAAACAACGATATGCTACGTCTTCACATGGAACTGAAAGGTCCCTTTCCAAAAAAGATGCTTCGCAAGGTTAGCTACAAAAATGAATGGTGTTTTGATATTTTCATCCTGTATTCGATTTCTTCTAATAAAAGCCTTCTAACTGATTAAGAAAGAGGTTTTCTGTGTGATGGATGAAGATCCAGTTTCTCGGCAGTCGTCGTCACATAAGAATGACCTTTTCTGTTGGTTCTTATACCTGTATTCTTGGCTTAACAGGGAACATTTACTGAGCAACACTTTGATCAAAACTTAAACTTTCATGCTACAGAGGTGGACACTGTAAAGAGAATGATTGTAAACATAAAGCCAAAAAATATCGGTTCAGTTATTAAAGGCTACCCTGGTGAGGATCCTAAGATGTTAGCTCATTTAAAGGATATCTTGGACAAAATTTTTGTCCTCGATCCTGAAAAGAGACTGACAGTGTCACAGGCATTAGCTCATCCATTCATCACGGGCAAGTGAACCACGTTTGCTGATTTTTTTTCTCTCTCGAGAATAGCTGTTGTCCTAGATAATCTGTATATTACTTCTGAATCCTAATAGAGATTCTAATATTTGGATTGCCTCTATCTTCTCTCTGCTGCCTGAGCGCTTTGATTACATTGCTGACTTGGGTGAAAGGGGAACGATGTTTGGGAGGAGTTCTCATCATATCTGGCGATTCTCAATGGAATTTACTGGTTCTATTGTAAGACAACATGCCAAAAGCATTCTTTTTTATTTTTACCGCTGTAATTATCTTGAATTAATGTCGTTGTAGAAGTCTGTGTTTTCATCTGAAAGAAGAGACATTCAGGATGTCTGATCCAGCATGTTTTTCAGCTATTTGATACTTAATCTTCTTTTCACTTGAAGCTTGAGTCTTTTATGGGTGGATTGTATCTGCTTAATTCTCGTTTTGCTCTTGGAGAACCTGATGCTATTTTTCATCCAGGGTATCTGCCAGCACTTAGAGACAGTCCTAAAGTCTTTCAATGCTTTAAAGGCACGCAGGAGAAGGTACAGTGGTTGTTTATTGGGAGTTCCTGCAACATGAAAACGACTAAACGAGTTTGGTAATCATTTTGCAGCTGTTTTGGTCTTAGGTTGTTAAGGCTTTGGACAAAAATATGTTGCTCTAGTGTTACAACTTACAATTAATTTCCACTTCATTGTCAATGTGTGGCTTTTGTTCCTTTGCTTTGGTGTAAGTTTGCGTACAATTTCTGAAATAGATCATCCGTTTCTTCTTCCTTTTGTGTTGTGGTAGATGTAGAATTTCTTTTCAGCTCTCTCTTTTTCATGTTTATTTCAAGTACTCTTGTATTTAGTGAATTGCATTGCATCTGATATGTTGTATTGTCATTCCGGAGGTTTTGCTTGGAGGGGAGGCTGCACAGGAAAATATGAAGGTACGAAGATCACTTCATTTCTGCGTGCTTCTTTTTTTTTTTAAACAAAGATCTATTAAGTTTCCTGTTACCTTTTCTCTCGTTTCATTTAGCTGATTGTGACTGTAATTCTGTTAGGGCGCGCATCCCATGCTTCTGGAAGTCTGGTAAGCACTTTTCAGTCTCGTGTCTTGCGTATTTCTTTGTGCTGGATAGATATGTTTGTTTGTCATGGAAAAAATTCTAAAGCATGTTACGGAGAGCCCTCAGCATTTGTCGTGGCAGAAATCTGGGATGCGAAAAACGTGGTAGGGATCAGGGTTTCTGATTGGTGTTATGTTGGTGGAGAGGCTGCCTTGAATTTCTTTTGGCATTTTTTGATTGTTCTATGGTGTGGGAAATGGTGAGCTCTAGTTTTAGTTAGTGAAGGCTTTTTGTTTGGGGACATAGACATATTTAGTTTAGAAGCTTAATTGTGAATATATATGTCTTGCCTCGTTCTGTTTTCTTTAATGAGAGAAGACTGTGAAAGAGAGTGTGTTTGTTGAATGCTGATAATAACCGAGTCAATGTTTTCTCGCCTAATAGAATGTCTGTTTGGGTTATGTATATTTCGTGCTCCAAAGTTTGCGTGTTTGTTTTACCTTTTCTTCTGGCGCGACAAAGTCAGCAAAATTAATTTTATTTGGAAGAAAAAAGTGGTTACGTCCATTTTGGTGAAAGAAATGTTTTCTGTTATGGTCGAGCAATTCAAACCGAGTTTTTTTCCGATGCAAGAATGGTGACTGATGATGACATGGAGGGGGTAATTATAAAGTGGGTGAAATACAACACCTCTGCCATGGTGTGGGAAGAGGGGTAACTGGTATTCGAGAGACCTCACGAAAAGGAGATGGTGGGTGAAGAAGGTATGACTTTTGAAATCATTTGGGCTTTGTCAAGTCGTGTTCGTCTTCTCTCTCCCGAGGGAGAAGAAGAAGGAAAAAGATCAACGCGGCCCCATCGCTTTGTGGGCCGCCGAAAAGACTAACGAACGCGAATTAAAAACAGGTCCCGCCTCGTGTTACGTTGTGTCGTCCACGTCGGCATCCTCCTTTTTGTTGACAAAAAAAAAGGGGGGAAACTTCACTCCTAAGAATTTTCCGGACAACGCGTCTTAACCCCCTTCTTACACATCAGAACCCAGAGCAGGCAGCAGGGATTGTCTTCTTCCCCCTTTGTTTAGCTCCTCCGCTCGAAGCTCTGTTATATTGCTTCGGCAGAATAAAAAAAAAAAAAAAAAAAAAAAAAGAAAAGCGAAAGCGGAGACACTTGTCAACTTCAACGTCCTAGGAACTCGGGATAGTACTTCTCTTAGCATTTTCTTAGAAGGAAGAAGAAAAGAAAAGAAAAGAAAAAGTGACAAAATGAATGAAGAGATAACATATCTTAGAGGAGGAAAACGGTAAATAGGTTTACCCTTCTTACACATCAGAACCCAGAGCAGGCAGCAGGGATTGTCTTCTTCCCCCTTTGTTTAGCTCCTCCGCTCGAAGCTCTGTTATATTGCTTCGGCAGAATAAAAAAAAAAAAAAAAAAAAAAAAGATAGAAGGGATGGGGAAGAAGCTGGATGCGCTGCTGGGGAGGTCGTTCAGAGTAACAAAGTTGAAGGCACTCCTCAACTTAGCCATCTCTCGCCTCGCCATCTTCAAGAATCAGCGCCACGTCCGCTACTCTCAGGCGAAGTCCGACGTCACTCAGCTCCTCCAACTCGGCCACCACGGCAGCGCCCTCCTCCGAGTCGACCAAGTCATCAAGGAGCTCAACATGTTTGACGTCTTCCTCCTCGTCGAAGGCTACTGTGCCCTGTTGCTCGACCGCCTTCACCTCATCCAACAACACCGGTCTGTTACTTCCTTCTTCTTCTTCTTCTATCATTCTCTCTTCCCTGTCTATCTTCGGCTGATTTGGTATCCGACTGTGTGCAGAGAGTGCCCCGACGAGCTTAGAGAAGCTATCTGCAGTTTGTTCTTTGCTGCCTCGAGGATCGGTGAGTTTCCAGAGCTTCAAGAGGTTCGGTCTGCTCTCTCCTCTCGTTTCGGCAGGGAACTCGCTTCTCGTTCCATTGAGCTCCGCAGCAATTGTGCGGTAAACCCAAAAGTAAAAAAAGAAGAAAAAACAAAAACAAACATCCATTGGCATATATTATGTACGTATGTTTTATCAGTAACAAGTAGACACACATCATGTTTTCTAAACTCTGCTTCAGATGGTTCAGAAGTTGTCAACTAGACAGCCGGATCTCGACGCCCGTATCAAGATGCTTAAGGAGATTGCTGGCGAGAATAATATAATTCTCAAACTCGACGAAGCTTCTTCTTCCACCAAGGTACGCTACACATCCTGCACGAACACCAGGTGCAAGATTAACAATCTCACATAAATGCTAGGTTCTCATAGTTACTTGTCTTGAAATATAAAAAAATGCAGGAAATGTCAGCTCATGCGGATGCCTCCTCCAAGTCTGATCTTCCAAGTGGTGAAGATGACTACGGGCTGTCTGATTCTATCAAGACCAAGAAAAAGTACAAAGACGTGGCCGATGCCGCACAAGCAGCTTTTGAGTCTGCTGCTTACGCAGCTGCAGCGGCGAGGGCGGCTGTGGTGCTTTCTCAACAATCTGATTCTCGTGACTCCGATGGTCACGACCATCCCGGTAACATTCAGAAGAAAAGATCTTTCCAAGGGATCGAGGACGATAAATCTGAATCTGAACATGAGCCAGACGCTAAGAATATTGACCGTGCTGAAAGCTCTAACCAAGATGATGTGAAAGCAGCATCTAAGAGATTGATGTCAGATTCAAGTACGGATTCAGAAGAAATTATTACAGAGGTTGGATCAATTTCTTTTACAGAAGACCCGGTGAAGCTCTTGGAGAAAGATGTGGTCATCTGGGATAGCGAGGAAGAATCCCAACATAGTACTAAGGCCACCAGCAAGGTTGGAGACAAGGTAGATCTAATGGGTGGTAAGAACAAAGCAGTAGCCAAGGGGCCAGTTTCTGTTAGGACCCGACAGGTTCGTGGTTACTGACATGTATCAATATTTTCCCATTCCTATGTATGGTTTCATTACGAGTTTTGTTTCATTTGTTTCTTAGTTTCTTTATGTTCTTTCGAGGGTGTTACGTATGGTTTTTTGTATTCTTGACATAAATAAACTATCAATTTCCTGGGACATTTGCACCTGCTTTTCCTATGTATATATGAAAGTAATCTAGAACAATTCAAACTTGAGAGTGCAACTTCTAAGAACTTACCCGTGCCCGTGCAGACATGGGAGCTTGCCCTTGCTCGGAAGTTACCGGCCTCTGGCCCGTTTCTTTCCATTTTGCAGCAGATCAGAAAAAGACTGCAAATTTACACCAACATCTTCATCATATTCAATACCAAGTTCCTCCTGCCAAAATATAATAAACCGTTAAACACCAGGAGATTGGTCATAAGAGAGACGTGCGGTCCGAAGGAACAAACTAGCCAGAATGTATGCTTCTGTACCTTGAACTCCTTGAGATCTTTGGGGGAATTCTCAGTTATAGCATCCCAGATGTCTTTGAACATCCTTTTACGCCTTCTCCATTGATTTATTTTGTCGGAGTACATCTCTTCAACAGCCTTTTTGTCCTCTGGTCTCACCAAAGTGATTCCTCCACGTAGTTTATCCAATTTCTGTTCCATTTCCTTAACCTGGTACATTACAAGGTAAACATCAAAACCTTTTCCCCACTTTACCTCAGCAATAACAAAGCCAAAGCCGAAGGCGAAGGCCATTACCTCCTTGCTTAGTTTGGCATCTTTCTCTTGTATCTCTTCTAGTGTCAAGTTCGACTGCAAGCTCCGGATTTCTGCAAACTCGAGAAAATATAATTCACCCTCCAAAGAAATGCCGACTGAGAATCTGAAGAATCAATCGATAAAGACACGAAAGATGATGTATTGCTTCTAAGGATTAGGCGCTCTTTCTGAAGTATGCCAATACCTGACTCCACTTCACTGATTGCTTTCTTTTGCTCCTGCAGCTGATCTTGAAGCTTAGCATTCTCTTCCTTCATTTGAGCAAGTTCCTCACTGTTTGGAATCTCGAATTGGTCTTGCCGAGCAAGGTATATTTTCTGCTTACCGTACTCTTTGAACGAAATTTTACCGCCATCAGCAAGACTATCCAGCGCCTTCTGAACCGCAGTCTTTTTAAGGTTGAACTTCTGCAGAGCATCAGCCGCATTCTGCGTGTTTAGAGGTCTATTTTGCTGCAACGTAAGGTAATCGAGTTAGTCGGAAAACCAGCAAACAAAAAAAATTCTACATCACCACTAGGAATCCAATGTCAAGTGCATTTCGAGTAACACAACAAATATCGTCTCAAACCCAGTTGATTCAACATGTATTCATCTGCAACATAATTCGTCAGACGCCCATATCATATAAACGATCGTAAAGTGTTCACGAGGTTTGTAATCGAGAAACCAAGAATATTCTTCTGATATAATCTATTCAGATTTCAATTACCTGCAGTAACGTTTTCAAATTCACGGAAATTTTCTGTTTGTTCATCGAGAAAGTGCGAGAAAATGCCAGCCATAGCTACTTTCAACCTAAGCTGATGAACCTGAGAAGAAATGCTTACCTCGTTCACGAAGTTGAGAACGATAACTGCAAAAAATTTCAGAATAGAGAAAACGGAAAGAATCAGCGAAACATTCCAGCGATTAGAAAGGAAAATTGGGCAAAATTAAATCCATCATTGGCGTATCAGAACCAAATTCTACAGCATTTGTGCAATTGACTTGAAGAAGGAAGTCATAAAGCAATACGAAGAACAAAGGAAATCTATTCGAGACAACCGTGATGGTTAAAGAGAGAATTAGCTGATAATTTCCAGAGATTACCTTCAGTGTTGTCCGATTTAGGAGCCATCTTCCGCAAGAACGGGCGGGAAAATTCTGGAGGGTTTTTCTTGTATTTTCCAGGATTTCTGAGAAATTGGCGTCTGACGAGTGTGAGAATTTGCCTTTTTTTTATTTAGGGGTTGAGTTGAGCCAATTCCCGAAAGAATGGGCCTTTTTTGTATGGGCTCTTATTATGGGCCTTTAATGGGCTTAGACTTGAACCCCGGAAGAGGACATGGGCTCAATTGAACTAAGCAATCTTACGCGCAGGTAAAGCGCGTTGACGGCCCATTTATTAGGGCTATATATCATTCAATATGCCCATCCAAGTAATATCGCTTTCGGCCCAATTTCAGTGCCATAGCTGGAACGAGCTCGCGGGGATTCAGAAAAATCTCTCTCTCTCTCTCTCCTGATCGATAGATCGATAGAAGAAGACGCAAAAGAGGGTGGGGAGGCACCGTAATCGGTAAATCTTAAGCATTTCTCGAACTGGAAGAGTTATTGTATGTAAAAAGAATCTGAATTTCGACTATCGATTAGATCTTCTATCTTTTTTTCTGGTCGATCGTCGTTAGTAGCCTCCTGGTAAAAGTTCAGGTTTGGTTTCTGAGAAAATTGGAGGATAACGATACCGTGTTGCGTCCTTCATTCTGATTTATAATAGATAGGGTTTGGATCGACGTGAACCCAAGAGTGTTGTAATCATGTTTGATGGTTTAGCATAATTGTTCGGTAGAATTGGTATCTTCACCTAGTTCATTATCTCCAAAGAATCCTTGATCGAAGTTCTTGGTTTTATGTCGGAGATCCGGATTAGGTTCTTCTTCCGTTTCACATTTGGTTTATTTCAGTGTCATAATTGAATGTCAAGGGTTTTTTCCTCGATTGTATACTCAGGCATGTAAACGAGGATGAGAAACTACTTGGAGATGACCGAACTGGGTATTGTGGCTTTCCGTTATCTGGGTATAAGCCTGAATTACAATAAATTTTGATTCTATTATTTCTGGGGAATCGCCATTTAAGTTCAGTGTAGCTCATTTAGAAATGCGTAAATCTCTGCGTTACGTTCTTTTTTATATGAAGATTGATGTTTATTTGCTTATCTTTTGGTGTGATCTACGTGGCTTTTTGTTGTATTTTATTCTGACTTCGTACTTAGGTTTTGTAAATATAGGATTGGTTGAAGCCGGGAATTGAGTTGGGGCGGGATGTCTATGGTTGACGAGCCACTGTACCCCATTGCTGTGCTTATAGACGAGCTAAAAAACGATGATATCCATCTTAGATTGAATTCTATTAGAAGGCTTTCCACAATTGCTCGTGCTCTTGGAGAGGAGAGAACCAGAAAGGAGCTGATTCCATTTCTTAGTGAAAACAATGATGACGATGATGAGGTGCTGCTGGCAATGGCCGAAGAATTGGGGGTATTTATTCCTTACGTAGGAGGAGTCGAGCATGCACATGTCCTGCTTCCACCTCTTGAGACTCTTTGCACGGTTGAGGAAACTTGTGTTAGGGAGAAAGCTGTTGAGTCACTTTGCAGAATTGGTTCTCAAATGAGGGAAAATGACTTGGTGGATCATTTCATTCCTCTGGTTAAGGTTAGACCAGACTCATAAATTATGTTTCTATTTAATCTTTTTTCACTAAATTGAGTATATGGAAAAATTCCTGTAACCCGGTGAGTTCTGTGAGGGTGAGTTACATGACACTCAAAGAGATTGATTTCGGGTCCTTGTGTCCCAAAATTTTTGGAAATATGCTTCTGCCCCTCTATGTACTCTTTTTCATCTCTATCGTAGTTAAACAGAAACTGCTAGACACAAGAAGTTTTTCTTATCTGGAAGAACTAGAAGGGTATCCATCAGAGTCTCAGACATATCTGGCCTTACATGTTTTTTTTCTGTGTTGTTGGCATTTTTTCTTCAACTGTGATCGCACTTAACCACCTAGCTTAATCTTAGTGTAATGTTTCTCTGAACGTCCCTCATTGGTTAACAGAGATTGGCAGCTGGTGAATGGTTCACGGCCAGAGTTTCTGCATGTGGACTGTTCCATATTGCATACCTGAGCGCCCCAGATATGTTAAAGACAGAGTTACGATCGATATACGGCCAGCTGTGTCAGGATGACATGCCAATGGTGCGGAGAGCTGCAGCAACCAACCTGGGGAAATTTGCTGCTACAATTGAGTCAGCACATTTGAAGACAGACATCATGTCAATGTTTGAGGATCTTACGCAAGATGGTATATCTTTGGATATGGTTCATGCTCCTGCAGTTAGCTTGTCATGTGTATATATGTAGAGATCACCACATCAAGTAACACTATTGGGTACATACAGAATCTGAAAAAGGAAAAAATGCACGAGCTATGCATTTTCACGAATACTTTGAACACTGAGCATTAGCTGAAGTTGGGTAGGAAAATTGTTGTCAAAATGTCAGTTTCAGAGTTTATCATATTTGTAATCATCTTACACTTTGTTTCTGATATTATTGACCTTGATATCAGACCAAGATTCAGTTAGACTATTGGCTGTTGAGGGTTGTGCTGCCCTTGGGAAGTTGTTGGAGCCTCAGGACTGTGTGCAACACATTCTTCCGGTGATTGTTAGTTTCTCTCAGGTGAATAGTTGCGTAAATAATAATACACGTTTTCCTATAGTTTAAGGTCAGGCATACGATCTACTTAATCATGGTTTGTCATCTTTGAGCAGGACAAGTCTTGGCGTGTGCGCTATATGGTTGCAAATCAGCTCTATGAACTTTGTGAAGCTGTTGGACCTGAGCCTACTAGGTAAGCACGTGTTGGTTAAACCTAATGCTGTATATTTCTCCAAGTACTTTAGGAGACTCCATGTCTATAACAGACATTAGATTTCCTTTTACAGGCATTTGCTACTTGTGGTTTTACGTATCATATTCATGCACTTTCTTTTTCTCGAACCATCAGGATTGACCTGGTGCCTGCATACGTGCGTTTGCTTCGGGACAATGAGGCTGAAGTTCGGATAGCAGCTGCTGGAAAAGTGACCAAGTTTTGTCGGATTTTAAACCCTGAACTTGCTATCCAACACATTCTTCCCTGTGTCAAGGTACACACTTGTTAGAAAAGCACTATTCAGTTGGTTTTTCTTGTTACTAATAGAATAGCTTGTCGTGATTTTTGACCTTCAGGAGTTATCATCGGACTCTTCTCAGCATGTTAGATCTGCTTTGGCCTCTGTTATAATGGGAATGGCTCCAGTCTTGGGTAAGGTAAGTGAGTTGTACTGATAAATTTTTATTCCACTTTAGCATCTTAAAGATTTTGATTTCCTATTATTTCTGTTGATTGTAGCCATATATATATCTTCATGATCAATTTTATTTTTTAAAATAATAATATCCTTCAGGTACCAATCTGTGGTTGAAAAGGTGCTCTCTTCCATGATCAGTTATATTAAGTTGAAGAGAGTGTCATATGAGTTTGTGTGTGTGTGTGTGTGTGTGTGTGTGTGTGTGTGTTTGTGGTTGAAGTTTTTAACTTTGCATTGATGTTCAATGCAATGCAGGATGCAACGATTGAGCATCTTCTTCCGA